GAAAATGGGGGGCGGGAGTGGGAGAACAAGCCTGAAGAGGGACAGAAACTCAGACAGATTTAGGCAATCTTGGTACAAGGAAGTGTAAGTCCCATTTGAATGCTGCTTAAAAACACATACAAAACCGCCTCAGATTGATGCAGAGATTAGAGTTAAGCTTATTCTCAGTTCATGGCACTTGCCCCCATGGAGAGGTGAGGCCCTTCTTTTGTTTTGTTTTATATATTTTTCTTATTTGATCCCTGAGTCCCCCCTCTGCATTAACAACAGCCAATACTTTAAATGTGCTGGCTTTCCGTCCTTGATCTATATGTATATACGTGCATATAAAATCTAAGTGCCTTTGGTGTTGTGCGTGTGTTTAAAATTTACATAATAGGTTTTGTACTGTAAATATTGTTCCGATGCTTACTTTTTTGTTCAATAAAAATGCACACTTAGGTCAGGGGCTCCAAGCTGCATGTTATTTCATAGAATTATCTACCATATTTAACAATCCATTTCCCTGGCGGTGGTCACCTTGTTCCCCGCTGCACAGCTCACTGTGATGAGCCATCTCAGGTGTGTCCCCTGCTGCCCCGGGTGAGAATTTTTCTAGGAGAGAAGTTTTGCCTGGTTACAGGAATCACTTTGTAGGGAGAGAGGGAGGGGTGTTACCTAATAACATGCAGATTCTCGGGCCCTTCTGCTGGAGATTCTGACTCAGCAGATCTGAGGGGGCCCTGGAACCCTTAGGTTTCACAGGTGCCCGAGGTGAACTTAGTGCCAGGTGCACTGGGTAAAACTGGGTACAACAAGCCTGGAATGGGATTGCTGGGCCAAAGGTTCTTTAGCACCTTCTCAGGAGAGACTAGTCCATTCGGCCCTTTGCCTCATCTACTGATTGTGTTTTTAAGACCCAACATCTCCAATCGGTTCTCAGTTATGACTGCTTGCTTTACATTACCAAGTACTTGGAGATGCTTGTTTGTACGATCTTCTTCTCCCTGGGTCACCACTGTACATTCATCTGGCATCCACTATTCCCTCTGTTTTCTCTGACCACGGTCACACTTCCCTGTGGTTATTTTTCTCTTTCAGGACTATCTTCCCAGAATATTAGGTGCCTTGGCTATTGGTGTGAGGTCTTTAGCTCAGGCCCTAGATTGTGCCACTCCTTGTCAGGTTTAGGGAGAGAAAATGTGTGTGCTTATGACTTGAGAGAGTGGTGGTAGGTGTGGAGTGAAGCTGGAAAGAGAGAGTGAGAGAACACTTGGATGTTAATTTAGGTTTATCCTTCTTATCCTCCTTCTTCCTCTCTATACTCCTGCCTGGGAGGTCTGGTTTCTAAGCACTATCGCTGTCTCCCTTGGTGGTAACCACCTAATGCTTAAAATGTGATAGGAGGGGTGGAAAGAAGCACACACAGGGACTGAGGGTCTGTTTGTCCCTGTAGACTTTCAGATGTGATTTCTGGAATCCTCAGAGGGTCCCAGCTCTGTCCTGATGCCTCTCTGCTGTCTGCAGCCCATCCTGGGTTAGCGGGGCTTTTCTCTCCAGGTATGGTGGGATGGCAGGTGAGGGATGGAAGGAAACACAGATAAATGCTTCCCATCTGTGCACCTGCCATCTTCTGCCTCCCCAGCTCTTTCCTGGGTTAGGACCCAACCAGGGTATCTTACAGGTTTCACACCAGCTTCTCAGAGCTTTCATGTTCCCTGTGGCTGCTCCGGGGCAGAGCTCCAGAGAGGAAAGCAGCAGCCATGTTACTGTGCCCTCTTTTCCAGCTGCAGTCCCTTCTCAAGCTAATCTACTTTGCTCAATATTCGTAGGAGAGAAGGTCTTATTGGCTGGGCCAGGTGGCCATTACCCCTTAGCCAGAGCAGGACAGCATGACCGACAGTCACGACAAGACTAATGTAATGGTTGGGGCAGGGGAAACTAGGCAATGCAAAGACATGCCCACAATCTAGACATGTGCCTTTCAAGAAGAAAGTCAGAGAAGGTTTGTGCAGCTAATTAGGAGAGCCTCGAATCAGTGATATAATTCATATGGCCACCGCACCATGCGTGTACTATCGTCTAATGGGGAGGAACTTTTTTGAAAGAGTAGACTATAGTCTACTCTGAATAATTGATGCTTGACATCAATCCAATGCCAAAAGCCCACGAGTCCCTTAGAAGCCTTGTTTGGTGGTGATCTTTGCTTTGCCTGACCTTGCTTACGTTTATGAAAAGCTGATCTCCAAAGGCACTGTCGCACATGTCCAAACAACAGTGTCTCGGTGGTGGCGGTTAATGGAAGGGAGCTCACAGTTAAGTATTTCTGTTGTCTGGAGTTTTATAATGATTTGAGAAGACCCCACTTAAATGTTTCCAATTTTGAAATATCAAGTGTTCAAAGCATGATATCTACCAAAGATGAAGCCAACACAGGACTTCAGGAAATGTGACAATTGCAAGCAGTGCAGTGCTGTAGTTAAGGCCACACGCCTTGGGGCCAGGCATTCTGGGTGTGCAAGTCAGGTTCCATCAGCATGTATTGTCTGTGTTTCTCTGGACAAGTCACTTAGCCTCTCGGTGCTCAGTAAATTTTATATTAAATCACACATTTAGAGTACTGAGTCATTACATGCATGCAGAGTATTTAATCCTTACTAAATTGCTAATATTTGATATACCCATTATGCAACTAAAAATAAAAAGAAACTTGAAGTTGTTTTTCTGCTGTCATTATCTTAAAAATGTCAATATTGTTTTATTATTTTGTTTTGATCACTTGAGAAAAGTTATACAATCCTAATGCACTTATTCCAGGAAAATAAAAAGAGCCTTGAGCCTTGAATATCCCTGGGACTACTTGAGTTCTCCTCCCCCCCTCCCCCTGCAGCTTCAAAATGGCAGCTATAGCCAGCCCACTCCATCATCTGTTCCAGGGGAAAGTTTACACGTAATGCAAAAATGTAAACTGGACAACAGCAATGCAGTGAAAGATGCAGAATGTTGGAACCTAATTTGAAAACCTTTATAGCATAAGGCAGCCAATTAAAAAAAAAGTTGCATTCATTCTAAGATACACATACATACATATGTATCCCATGAACCTCACAAGGTACTATGGTGCAGTGTCGATGTTTTGTCTTAGTGAATTACTGTAGTTCAATAGAGTTAGCCTAGAGAACCCGCTTTCCTTTGTTTAATACCTTCAGGCGGTTGCTTGAAGGCCTTTTCAATTCCTTTCCTGACTTGACAGCACCTCTGGCTCCTCACATGAAGTAGCCCTGGGATCCCCTCTGGTGGCTTCTCAGAGGCTCTGTTTTCACTATTCTGGGTTATAGACACAAAGGTGTTGGGAACAAGCACAGTGGATGTGATGGAAGGTGGATTTAGTCCCCATTGTGTCTCTGTCGCATTCAATACAGCTTTAGCAGAAGCTGTTGCCTGAGGCTTCTTCTGGGACCGGAGAATCCCACTCTGCTCTCATGCTTGAGGCAGGGAGCACCAGTAGAATTAACACCACTAGGAACAGCCTTCAGCCAAGGACTCTTGGTAGTTGACTTGAACCTGAGCTTCCTTGCGCCTCAGGGGGGTAACTTAAAAGTGCGTAGCTTGCCTTGTTTCCCAGAATTCCCTTCCAGAGCCATCCACTGTGGTAGCTGCATTGATGAGTCATCCTTATTGGTGTCTTTCCTCTCCCCTCATCACTCCCCCATTCCCTGATTGGTGCTGCTTTTACCTTCCAAATTACCTACTTGCTCTGTAATCCCTGTCTGGGGCAGCTTCTAGGGGAATACAAGCAAGCAAGATGCCCTCCTTAGCTCCATCTCCCTCTCTACACCTCCTTCCACTCACCAGCCTTTGCAACTCTAAGATTGGGCTCTTGATGGCCATGTCTGGGCAACAGGACTGGTCTTCCTGGCCACAGCTGATTGGACCAGGGAGAGAGAACAGCTGGACCAGAGTCCCTTCCCTAGGAGTTTGGAGATTGGTAGGGATGAGTGGGGGTTGGGGAGTGGGGGAGAAGAGAGAGAAAAGGAAGAGAGACAGAGAGAGAATAAAAGACAAAGATTGATTGAATCTTTCCCCAGGTGGGGACTGGAGCACATACACTTGGGAACTAGGAACACATTCTGCATAATATCCTGGGGAGCTGAGCCAGCTCAGTGGTCTGCAGAGAGAAAAGTGCAGCAGGTGTGCAATGGAGAGCATAGGTGAGGGACACAAAAATACCATGTGGTTTTGGCAACCTTCCAGTCCTGGTTCCAATCCTTTCAGAGTCCTGGCTTCATTTCTGCTTTGACAAGGTACCCTTTTCTTAAGAAAAATACCTATTTTTTTGTTTGTTTAAGCTAAATTAGTTGATTTCTTTTGCTTCAAGCCATAATATCAGCCAATGTATATTTTACATCATAAGTAATTATTCTTGTTTTAATCTTCACCCAAGGAATGAGGATATTTTTTCCATTGATTTTTAAAGAGAAAGTGGAAGGGATGGGGGAGGGAGAGATGGAGAAAGAGAGAGAGAGAGGGAGAGAGAGAGAGAGAGAGAAGAGAGAAAAATTGATTAGTTGCCTCCCACACATGCCTCAACTGGAGGTGGGGATCAAAACCTTGACCCTCCATACACAGGCAGACATTCTAACCACTGAGCCATGAAAGCCAGGGTATAAGTGATTCTTATTTAAAACTAGAGTCCCGAGACATGAAATTTGTGCACTCGGGGGAGTCCCTCAGCCGGACCTGTGCCCTCTTGCAGTCTGGGAGCCCTCGGGGCCACTGCCACTGTGCTCACCAGCCATGAGCCCGGCTTCTAGGAGTGCACTGACCACCAGGGGGCAGCTCCTGTGTTGAGCACCTGCCCCCTGGTGGTCAGTGTGCGTCATAGCCACTGGTCATTCCTCTGTTGGGTCAATTTGCATATTAACCTTTTATTATATAAGAAGTTGTGTTTTAAGGGCTGTTGCCATCTCAGCTCTGGAACTGAGATATTTAATTTTATATTTGTTCATCCCCTTCCTTAGGAGACAGCAAAAGGAAGAAGTAATTTCCTCTTTTCCATAGGGAAAAGCAAAGGGATTCTTTTGTGGAGTTCTTGTGTTCTCTGCTGTCTTGGTACCCGAAGACAATCTCCTCTCACATCCTGAATGTTGCAGGAGCAAGAAGCTGGATTCCCACAAGAGGTGTGCGCTGTGTGAGGGAGGTTCAGGGACTGAGGGTCAAGGGGCTGTGGATACACCCGGGGAAGAGGACCACGGGATTCATAGCTCACTAGGCCAGGGCACTCCTTGAGAGCACTTCTGGGGGCCTGGGGTAAATGTGACTGTGAGGTTGGCCACCAGGCCCTGTGGCCTTGGGAACGCTGGTAAAGGAGAGGAAAGCTCAGGATGGCAGGGCATGGCAGATGGGGAGAATCAGCCCCTAGCACTGGCACTAAGCAGCAAAGAAGAAATAGTGACTGTTTAGGATGGAAGGAGAGGTTCTCCATTTCTCAGAAGCAAGTGAGTTACTGCGTGTGGCAGGGTGGAGGGCCATGAGCGTTTAACATTGGCCATTCTAACCAACCTTGGCGAGGGCCGTGCCTCAGTCAGTTTGGGCTGTTAAAGCAGAAATACCATATATTAGCGACTTAAATAGCAGACATTTATTTCTCACAGTTCTGGGGGCTGGAAGTCAAGATGAAGGCATCAGCAGATCTGGTGTCTGCTTACAGCCTTGTCCTTGCTTGTAGACAGCCACCCTCTTGCTGTGTCCTCACCTGTGGGAGTGGAGTGGGAAGGGGGAGGGACAGGGACAGGTAGCACTTCTTCTGAGAGCACTAATCCACTCTTGTGACCTGATGACCTCCCAGAGACCCCACCACCAAACACCATCACATTGTGGGGTATGGGTTTCAGCATATACATTTTCTGGGTGTGGCAAAAACATTCAGTCCATTGCATGGGGCTGGAACTGGGATGTAATTAATTATACATTTTGAATGAGACATTTTTCATAACACTGCAGGTGTGGTGGAAGAATTCATACCTGCTACATTTGTACATTTGGATACTTGTTATGATAAAGGGCAATCATTCTTTATGGCTGTATTCCTCCCCCCGCCCCCCCCCCAATAAAATGTCAGAGGTGCTTGTTTCTTTTAGGTGAAAATATATAATCCCTTTCTTAATCTATTACAAAGGTTAGAAATGAGTGCAAAGAAAATAGAGTTATTGAAAGAATGGCAGGTTGATGTGGACTTGTCAGAGAGCCGGATTAACAAGGGAAACTGACTCTAGGAGAGGGACTCAGGGGAATATGTCAGGAGGTGACTGAGCAGACAGACAGATGAGAGAACAAGGCTAAGAACGTGACTGGCCACCGAAGGAAGATGGGCGGCCAGAACCCAGCCATGATCCTGCCTCAGGTTCAGGGACTCCGCTGCCAGCCACCAGCCATGGCCACCTCCTGCCACCACAGGACACGATGGCATTGCCTGGGCTGGAATCCAGTCCTGCTGTCCTTGCTTTGGCATCACTTGTTATCGTCTCAGTGTCCTGTGGGGAGCCTCAGGTTGGCCAGGCACCTGCTGTTCGCCCAGCTTCAACCTCCAGGGCTCAGGGACAGTGAGCTGCTGCAGTCAAGGTGTGGCTCCCACCAGGACAGGGTAGCTTCACCAAAAAGGGCAGCTGAAAAACATCCTACATAAAGTCACTGTGATGTTTGTGTCCACAATGAAAAGCACCCAACACGTAGGTCCCCATGGGTGGCTGGCAGCTGACTCTGTCTCCTCACGTGGCACAGTCTCCCTTCCTTACCTGTCCACGTCCATGGGGGCGGTCTCACCACTATGCCCCCATGTCTGAAATCATTAGCTTAGTTGCTATCTCTCACTTCTCATCTGAGTTTCAGGCTTCTATATCCACCTGACTACTCCTCACAGCATCTTAGTTGTCCTCAAATGCAACTGAACTCCTTATCTTTCAGAAAGGCTATATGGGGGAGAGTTGGTTGTGGATCCTGGAGCCAGACAGCCTGAGCTCAAATCCTAACTCTCCTATATATCAGCTATGCAACCTTAAAAAAAATTGCAGGCTTGTGGCTTGCTTTTATCAACTGTAAAATGGGACTAATAACTATCTCATAATTTATGATGATTAAAAAACTGGATACACGAATCACTCTTAGACTGCTGCCTGGCGCATAGCAGGTACTCAGTTATTATTCTCCGCTACGCTCGGACCTCCCTTACTGCCTTCTCGCAGCTAATATTCCTTCCTAGAAGGCTAAGAACTTCTAGGTCTCACTTGACTGCTTCTTCCTTTCTCAGCAATACCCATGTTTTATCACTTCCAAAGTCAACTGATTCAACTTCTCAAATGTTCCTTCTCTCCAATCTCACTGCCACTTTCTTGCTTCTGGACACCGTCAACCCCTGCTTGGATGACTGAAACATTCCTCTAACTGGCTTCTTAGCCTCCAGTTAATTCCAAATTAAAGAAGACATATAATTATCTCATATGATAATAACAGCTAACATTTCTGTCTGTACTGTTAACTGGGAAATGTTCTAAGAGCTTTACTTGGATTAGTGAGTTCATTTAAATGTCACGGCCCCCTCCTGAATAGGGACTCTTAGTAACTCCCTTTGCAGATGGCACAGAGTACTCATGGGGCTTGTCCAGGGTCACCAGCAATAATGGCCCAGGTGGGATTTGTATCAAAATATGACCTTTAAAGCACTGTGTTAGAAAATGCTAAACCAAGGTTTCAAAAAGAAAGATGATTCAATCATAATAGAATTACTGCTCAGTACTATTAATACGACTGTATTTACAATTGTTATCTGCCGTGTAGAATATTTAAATTTGCAAAGTGCTTATTCCTAATAGCTTTCTGGAATACAAATTATTGCTCTAATTAAATGTTTACTTTTTGCTCTTTATTTCTTTTCTCGCTTTCATATCTATATATCATCTACATCTACATCTATTTCTGTGTGTGTGTGTGTGTGTGTGTGTGTGTGTGTATGTATGCATGCATGAAGGTGTTTATATGGCCTTATTTCTAATTGGCCAATTTTTTTCCCTTCAACTTTTCAATCCTTTTTCACTTTCTTTAATATCTTTTTGTAAAAATTAGATTTATCTGCCTTTGCACTTTTCATTGTTCCCTAACCCTGTGCCAATGGGTTCCTGGCTATGGCGTGCCTCTTCGCCTGATCCCACCTCCCACTTTCCTATCTGGTCTCACTGGGTGGCTGGTTTCAGACTCCTTTTCTCATCTGCTTCTATTCCTCCTCTTCCCCATTACTCCATGCCTCCCTGGAACACAATCAGTTCTCTAGGGGGGTATCGGTGGTGAATAGAGAGCCACAGAGCAGTAGGGGGCCCATTAGCTCTCACTTCCACAGTTAGAGCAGAGATAGACCCCGAGGAAATGAATGGGCACTCAGGCTCCCAGGATGACTTACAGGGCAGGACTGGGGGGTGGAGAGAGTAGGGGCTCCCCCCACAGGGACATCTGGATCTTGCTGTTCTGAGCTCAGTGCACTCCCTGGTCCTCTGCTGAGAGCTCACAGGGGATATCAGAGAAAAACTGAAATTGTTAGTTGTGTGTGTGGATCCAAAGCTGTCTTGGGCATTTGATGGGCACTTGGATTTCCTAATAGAGGGCCTGCACTTCACAGATTTCAGGGGAGCTGAACTCTGAGTGGACGAAAACGGAGACGTGGAGGCACCAGTTACAACAGTTTGTTATAGGGCAGAAATCAGTGTACCTTAGGCCGGCCCTGGCTCTCTGCCAACGTATTTCATTTCCTGAATCACCCCAAACATTTCTCCTTGCAGGCTGCCCTGTGGTCCTGACCCTCAGCACAGGAGGGCTCCAAGGCCACTGCCCTTCTGGCCACACCTGCCAGCACAGCCCTGACCCAGGTAGGGCCTCCTAGGGGCCTCCTGTGCCTGCTGCAGGTCCTTTCTCACTGCCCTGGGTAACCCCTCTCTGCGCTGGCCTGAGGTGCCACATCAGCAAGTGTGCAGCGCCTGGACTCCCTTCCCAGGGCGCCATCTGCACACGTGTGGTGCAAGGGCTCAGCCATCTAGAGTGGAAGCTGGATTTTGGGGGAGCCCGGGAGAAGACAGGGTGCCCCAGAGCCACATTAGGTGGTGTGTCCTTTGGGATTTGCCCCCACAGTCTCAGGGGCACACACCATCTGATTCCTTGGCCTCTGCATCCTGGAGTTGGTAATCCGAGTCCCTGCAGGGCTGGTAGCTGCAGCCACTAAGCCGGGGCTGCTCTGCTTTTTCTCAGCGGTTAACATGTCCCAGCTCTTCTTCAATGTCAAAATGTTTTCCCATGAACCAGGGGGTGGGGAGGGAGCATTTCCCTGCCTTATCAGCCCTAGCAACCAGAAGCCCGGTTTCCAGGAAAGCAGCCACTTGATCCAACCGGTGAGACCCACTCCCCAGCCAGCACTGGCCTGGCATTGCAGCCCCAGCACCCAGCACGCAGCAGCCAGTGTTTTTTTTAGCTGTGGCCACATGACATCATTTCCAATTGGCCAGCCTTCCTCCTCCTCCCTTGCCCAGCCTCCTCCCCACCCCTGCCTTTCTCCTTTCTGCAGCCCAGGGTGGTAGTTTGTGAAGTGATGGGAATGCTTTGGGCTTTTGGCTGGCGGGGGGCACTAATTCCCTTTGTTTCTCAAAATATCCCAGGCCTGGCTACCAGAATCACTTCCGGGACAGAGACAGGCTGGCTCAGGCCCTGAGACACAGCTCAGCTGGCTCACTTCGGGTGGCTGGACGCGTGGCCCTGAGTAAGACCCACCCCTTCAGTGGAGTGCCTCCCTCCCTCCTGTGAAATGAAATGCAGTTTCTCTGAACCCCACATCCTGTGAGGCGCTTGGGGAAAAATAACGGTGATGCCCACATGCGATCGTTAGGTACTTCCCTCCCCAGCGGGGCAGCTGTCTTTGAGTAAGTTTGGTGGTGCTTGGTGAGCCACGAAAAGGCAGGACTGTGTCTTGTGATGTGAAGAGGCTCTTTTCCTAACCATATATGTCTTCCCAAGAGAAGCAATAAATAATGTGGTCACTCTGGCCGGGTTGTCTTTCCCTAGCTGCCCCAGGAGCCCTCTGGCCGCGCAGCTGCTTCTCCTGTTTCAGTTTCCATGTCCTCTCCACTTTGTAACTCAAGGAGCACCTCGGGCTTAGGAACAGCTGACGACCCGGCCAGGTCCCTGGCGAGGCACCTGGGAGAGGGGCGGTGGGCACTGCCTTGCAGGCATGCTCTGGGGAACTGCATCCTGGTGGCCGTGAGTCACTGGAAGGTGAGCGAGGATGTGTGCTGGAGGGTGGGGACCGCCAGTACCAAACCCAGAAGACCTGGCGAGGCCATGTGACAGAGACGTGAAGAGCATTCTCAGGGGAGACCGCACGGGCAGCCCTCCCATCACAACCTCACCTTCCGCCTCTGTCCCCCAGAAAGGGGGCCGACTGCTCATTCAGGAGCACACACTGCCGAATCGGAGAGCTCAAAGGATCTTTGTGAACCCATCACACCCCAGCCCTGTGCTTTTCAGATGAAGAAACTAAAGCCCAGAGGTGAAATAATTGTCCCAAGTCAGGCTAGAATAGGGCTGGAACCCAGCCTCCTCTCAGAGCCCTTACTCCATACACCCTGCTCCGCCCACCCCAGCCCCAGCCCCAGCCCTGGCCCCGGGTGTTTTTATGCTGCACCCAGGGTGCTGAGCGCACTCAGCCAGGAGGTGAGGGTCAGCTGGAAGATGAAAGGCAATGGAAAACGTGGATTCCATCCCTCCCTGCACTCCTGCACTCCTAGCTCTGCTGACCCCTCCTGCTGCACCCCCTTGACCCCTTCCAAAGTGATGGCTTTTCCTTCTGGGTCAGACCAGCTCCTCAACCCCCTCTCCCCGGAGGAGGGACGGGCGGAGTTCCAGGTTAGGGTGACTGTTCCCTGTCTCCAGCTGTTCTTTTATTATTGAGCGCCTGGAGGGAAGGGAGCCAAAGGGCCATGGGAGCAAAGCATGTCATGTGGGGAGTGGCTGGCCATGTGGTGCGGGTGGCTGAGCGTTGCAGCGGCAGCCAAGTCCTTAGGAGCTGTCTCTCCTATCGCTAAGTGCTGGAGTGGAAACTTCTGAGAAGGCCCTGAAAGGTGACAACCCGAACAAAGCTGCCGGGCCTCGGCTTTGCGGGGCTTCTTCCCTCAGAGCTCTGGAATGCCACGCATGTGTTTATCTCAGGCCGGGCAGTGCCCGCCCACTCTGTCTACCTCTGCTTCCTCCACGGCTCAGCATGCCATTGGCATCTAATAAATGTTAAAAAATAGCGACATCTGAGCCACTGACCTTCACAGAAATGCCTTGGAGGCCAATGCCAGAGAACCAAGGCCTGGAAGTGAGAAGAGAAACACGTGGTCAGCATGGGGGCCATGGACGCTGGGGGTCCAGGAGGGGGTGGAATTTGCCCCAAACTCAGCCAGGGCTCAGAGGTCAAAAGAAGTGGAACGGGGCCAGATGCTTTAACAGAGATGCCTGAGCCGCGTGGCCTTTGCACACCAAGGGCCCTGGCTCTGCTCCACCTACCACCCCAGCAGGTCAGGTGTGCTGGCTGCATGGGCTGATGCTGGGGCACAGCTGACACCCTCTCTTCGCTGCCGGCCCCTCCCTCACCAGGTCCCTTTCACCATTGTTCGGCAGAGAGACTTCCTCGTCTGGCGTCTGGTGCTGAAGGACGGGAGGGACTGGGGTTTTCCATCCCGTCTGAGTCTTAGGTTTCGATCTCTTCCTTAAAAAACACACAGCCTTTTCTTTACCCCAGGCCTGGCCAGGGGAGGCTCGGCACAATCTCTTTTCAGCCAGCTCTCTGCCTTCCGCTTTTCTTCTTCCCCAAAGACTGGGGGAGGTGAACACCGCAGAGGGGAGGGGACCTGTGTTTCCGGAGGGCCTGCATCTCATTGTTTAACCTCGCCCCAGAACCGACTTGACAGGCCAGGGCATCGAGGCTTGGAGGCAGCAAGTGAGCAGCCAGGCCAGCAGCTGGCAGGTGGACTAGGAGCCTTCCCAGGGCTGGCTGTTGGCACCTGTGGGGGCTCACTGCATGCGACATACACTGTTGGCGATGCCCATGCGCTTGATCCCTTTTCTGCTCAATGACAGAAAAGGTAGCCATGGCTATTCCCATTTTAAAGATGAGCAAACTGAGGCCCAGAGAAGTTAAGAACTTTCTTAAAATTGGCACTGCAGTTCTGAGCCATTGTTATAGCGGCAACCAGTATTTGCGGGAGTCCCAGGCATCACGATTGAGCAGCTGTTGGGGTGATCAGCTGTCCCAGTCTTCCCAGCACCCTCTAGAGTCTAGCCTCAGCCATGGAAGTGACGTGTCCTGGGAAACCACTAAGCCTTGGGCAAACTGGGTGGGTCGACAGCCCCATTGCTGCTCCTCCATCTCCTCCTCTTCCTTTCCCACAGTGAGGCCGTTGGTAACCTCAGGCATTTACTTGGGAAAGACAGAGGGGCTCTGGGGCTAGAGAGCAGATCCCAAGTCCGGGTAGTAGGTCACAGGGGAAACGCTCCTAGCACAGTGCTGGGAAGGCATGGATGCTCACTGACGGCCGCTCTTGTTCTCAGCCTACCCTGTGGTGGAGGACGGAAGAATGGAAAAGGGGGGGGTGCCCTGAGGAGTGGAGCAGAGTCCTGAGTGGAACCCCTCTGCTTGCTGATTCCTGCTCAGGGCCAGGCATTGCCACGTGTCACTAGTGGCCTGCAGATTGGGACTAGGTCTGAGAGGCAGGCTGTGGACATGGGTGACGGTGAGGAAACCCAGGCATAGGAAGGCCAGCTCTTGGCCTCTTAGGGGAAAGGGATGATGGGGAAGGAGGTGACTGAGAGGGGCCCTGGAAGAATGCAGGGGGCAGAACAGTGGAAACAGCCTCTGTGGGAGCTGCGTGAGGAGGCGTCCCACTGGGGGGTGAAAGGCCGTCCCAATGTGCTTGCCTCTGCGCCAGACATTCTCTGCGCTCTCTCCTAGCGTCACCCTCAAGCCTTCCCAAATCCCATGCAGTTGGTATCAACATCTCCATTTTTTAAATGAGGAGAGTGAGGCACCCAGAGATAAAAAAAAACAAAAACAAAACACTTGCCATGGCCACACAGCCAGGAGGTCATGCAGCCAGGATTCAAACTTGTCTGACAGTGAAGGATGAAAAGGGTTTTCCTCTCCTCCTTTTTAAATTATGCAGCATTTTCTTTGCTTGCAAGGCCAGGTCAGTGGAGTTTAAGAAAAATCTTCCCTAAAGGATAAGAAAAGGTAACTATTTTAGCCCCTCTGCCATGCTGCCTCTTTCCTGCGCCAGACCTGATTAGGAAGTAGGGCTGGTGAAGGGGGAATCGGTGATTGGTAATCCCAGGTGTCTGTGTATGTGAGCATGTGTGCACATGTGTTTGAGAGTGTGTGAGTGTGAGTGAGTGTACGTGTTGAGACCCAAATTGCTCCAGGAAAACTTTTGCATCCTGGGGCTTGAAGATCACTCCCGCCCCACCCCCTCTTAGTTCATCTCTAACCCTTTATCAGACCTGCAAGGCTAAGCCTCCTTTCAGGAGCAAGGGGAGAGCCAAACCTGGGATCACCCGTTGGCCTTATCCCACGCAGGGCTGGGGAAGCAGCCTTCGTGCAGCCCTCGCACCTGTGTGTGAGGGAAATTGGGGGCAGGAGGAGCAGATCAGGAGAGAACCTGTGCTGGGTGTGGTTTCCATGGCCTGGGCAAGCTCTGCTTCCAGACAAAGGGGAGCTCCCTGAGTCACCGGCTCAGGCACCACCTCATCTGTCCGCCCTCTTCCCAGCACCACCCCTGCCACCACCTCCTCATCCCTGCCCATTACTCACCTGTTTCCATCTGTTTCCCCTCACTGAGCCTGCACGGGGCATGTCCTTGGACCAGCCCTGCTGTGAACAGCATGATTGTGAATGGGCCCAACAGCAGCCACAGAGAAACACAGAATCACTTCTGCATCCTGGGGAGTCTTGTTTCAAGGAGCCTGTCACACTGGGAGCTCCCTTTCTGCCAACAAGTTGGGCCATTAGATCTACCCCAGAGCTCCAGAGAGAAGCCATTTCTAGGTAGGAAGCATTTTACAGGGTAGCCAGGGGAGGAGGATGAAGTGCCCTAAACCTCGGCTTGCATGGATGCCTGTGTGCATTATGTCCGCCATGGTCGGAATTACACTACGGAAAGCAATCTTTATAGCTCATAGTAAGCACTTAACTGCAAGTTATTGAATAAATGAATAAAAGAGCTGTTTGCATGTCTGAAGATTGAGCAAGTACAAAACTGAAAATTCTCTATAATCAAAACATCAATACTGATACACAAATGAGACTTTTAAAATCCAGACTGGCTTGAAGGTGGGGCAGTGTGAAATACAGAAATAGATTATGAAACCAGAATGATGGAAATAAAGAATCCGAACTGAGATACACCCTTTGCTGGAGCTGGCAAAAGGCAGGGTTGCTGTGCATTACTGCACAGGTTGTACACTGCACAATTCTAGAAGGTACTCTTCGTAGCGACTACACTGTTGCGAGTGTTTTGCAAAGTGATGGTTGTGGATAAGCGTTTTCCCAATCCCTTAGTGAGGAACATGTGGAAAGCTCATATCAGAACAAAATAGTGCATATAATTAGGAGTTTGTCTATACATTTATTTCTGCTTACCTTAACCGTTTAGTAAATTTCACATATAATTCATTCACGTGGATTCAGTCACTTAAAATTTTTATTACAAAATAAAAAAGTTATAGATTCATAGGAAGTTGCAAAACAATGCACAAGGAGGTCCCCTGTGCCCTTCATTAAGTTTCACCCAACGGTAACATCTTGCAGAACTAGATAGTGAAACCAGGAAATGGCCAGTGGTCCAATCCACAGAGCTTATTCAGATTTCACCGGTCTGAACACACAGGCATTTGTGCCTGTGTAAACTTCTGTGCAGCTTTATCACATTAAACTGGTGGTAGATTCCTGTAACCACCACCAAAATTAAGATGCAGAGCTGCTCTCGACCACCTGCTATACCTTCCTCCATCCCTAACCCCTGGTCACCACTA